ACCGAGCCTTCGAGTAGCCCGTCAAAGCGGTAAACTTCTCGTGTGGCAGCTAGGACACGTTCCGTTTTCATTTTCTAATGACATTTAATTCAACACCTACTTGGGAAACTTTAAAATCCTATGGATGAGTATTAAGTGAAGTAATTTTTCAGCACCAAAGGCATCATCTACCAGGCATTTTCCATACCTTCCTCTCCCCTTTTTAATGCACATGTGGAAGTTACCTCGTAACACACACATCCCCAGAGGAGCTAAAATAATGGCACTCCATGCATTCGTCATGTTGATTGACCTCCCGTGGACAGCTGGTGGATGCAAAACAATTCTCAACCACTGTGATAAGTTGTTTACTCGGGTGACAAATGAGATGTGTCACCGAGTGGTCCCATAAGCTAGCTGTGAGAGTCTTCACCCGTATCTTCCAGGAGATGTTCATTTAAAAAACATCTAACACACAGTCTGTCAATGAGATGTGGAAAAACGGTCCCCTAAGTTCCCTCCTGCAATTACCCTACTCCACCACCTCACCATCAGTCCTGTTTTATGTTTACGTTTCTCCGTACAGGTGTACGTCAGCCCTTTGCTATGGGAACGACCTTCTGCACAGGGCTGTGCTGGGTTGCCGTGGAAACGGGCATCATCACCATCACCTCTGTCCTGGGCATGGCCAGATCCGGCTCTTTGGTTTCCGCAGAGGGGACATCGCAAAACCCAGGCTAAAAATACATGGCCTTATGGATGAAAAACAAAAAAATGGCAGGTAGCAACGATCACGGCTGAGTACTGCCGATGTGGTTTCAGAAGGTTTAATAATTGCCTGGGAGTTTGGGGGAACTTAGCACATTGCCAAAGGCACGTAGGATAAAATTGCAAAACAAATTGCACTGTCTCGGTGCAATTCAAATTTCAGAAGCCAGCTATTTACCAAGGCCACGCCACCGGTGCTCGTGTAGTGCCCACTGCACATGGTGCTCCCTGAAGGGGAGCGACCACAGTCCCCTTGCAGATACTCCGCTGCAATACACTGATACACTTCACACTGCACACTGTTACGAATTTTCCTGTTGATTAAATTTGTTGTAGCAGAGGTTTTTACATACACACACAATGCATATTTAACTATTCTCTATATTAGTCTGCAGAACAATAATGCGTCACTTTGCCTCCTTCATTTCACAGGTTTGTTTTAAGCACTTTTGTAGCTGCTGGTGACTCAGATGTGCTGTTACCTGAAAACCACGCGCATGCATGCCTGATTTTTCCTATGATTTTTTGTAGCAGTGTAATTTCCATGGTCTTACTCCTGATTTGTGCTAGTCTGATTTTTGAATCAGATAAAATAAAGTCAAGCTCTGTGATCTGGCACTCAATAATTCTTTTTATATATATATATATATATATATAAAAAAGGTACTTCTTGACCCACATGATGGAGAAGGTCAGAAGAAATGATCATAATGGTCTGTGCTGGCCTTGCAGGTTATGAATCTCTGAATTTATATATTTGAATGGATCTGATAACTGTCTGCCACTTGCTGAAAGCGCTAGAATTTACAGAATAATTTCATTGCCATTTAAGTGCCCATTCTTTTCACCTCAAGGAATCAATTTCTTCTGCTTTCTCTGCTGCGAGCTGTGAAAAATTAATGTATCAATCTCTTATGGTTATTTTTCAGTTTTCTGTTCTTTCTCTTCCCTCACGCACTCTGCAGATCTCATTCCAGGTTCACACGCTTTCTGACATGAGCTTAGTGGTTGGCAATTAACTCATCCTCCCCAGGAACGGACACAAGGGTTTAATTACTACAGCAACATGTTTATTTTTTATTTTGGTAGACTGATGAATAGCAAAGGGCAATGAGTTTATAGCCGAGCACCATCCACGCAGGCTGCTACTGAATAAAAAGCAACTTAAACTATTTCAACGGTAAAAGCACCGTATCAAAACAACTGGAAAACCTGTGCTTTCACCTGAATCCTGTACAAAGGAGTTAGAGAGCATCCAACTTCTTAGGCAGCGTGGACAAATTACCCCCTAGGCCTGCAGTGAGGGGGTGAGCTCAGGGCTGTGGGTTGCTCCGTCTCATGGGCAGCATTTAGCAGAGCCATCCTGCAGTGCCTCTGGTTTGCGGTGGCTCTGTGCTGGGGGATCTGCAGAGACACGAGTGGGGCATCAAGGACGGAGCTGGGTGCCATCATCACCCGGGGGTCTCACCCCACGGAGGGGCAGTTGTTGTTCAGAAGCAGCAAAGGACATTTCAGTTGGAGCTCAGTCCGGCGGAGCGGTGGATGCCCACCCAGCCTTGGCAGCTAAAAGAGCGTGCTTGTTTGCAAGCATTTTCCCCGCGGGGTGCAGTCCTGTGGGCTGTCCCACAGCAGCTCTCCCGCCACGGGGAGAGGCACTGGGAAGCCTCTCACCCCTCTCCAGCTGTACCGGACTGCCGGGAGAATTTGGTCAGGCAAAATGCTCCAGCCTGCTCAGCTGGAGCCTGCTTGAGCATGACGGGTCCCAGGGAGCAAATTTAAACCCAAGGACTGCTGCAGAGTGAGGACGGTTATCCTCCTCTGTTGGAATGCTTCCTGCTGTTTTATTGGCACTTTGAACTTTAGTATAGCTGTATTAAACTGGTTTATTTTGCTGAACTACCAAGTTACAACTTGTTATTATACACAGAACACCAAGACAGAGAACATACACCCTCCTCCCAACCCCCTGAAATATTCATTTAAATTAAAATAGCAGTAGGTACCAACCTGCATTTCTGAAAGCTTATTACCCTATTCCGTTAGCAGAGATAAATGTATGGAAAAGCTTAGTAGGAGGTGGAGTAGCCTGACATGAAGCAAATCTCCAAAAGCTACTTATTTTCATATGTACTGTTGATACAAATGAGTGGAGTTTTACATAGTTCCCAGCTGGTTGCGCACAACAATAACCTAAAAAGTGCTTGTTCCCAAATGGTGCTCCAGCTTCAGTGCTGCTTACAGAACTGTTGTTTTTCTCTGTGCTCTGACAGACAAACGGCTCGTCTTCAGCTGCCCTTAGTAGCTTGCTCTTAAAACTAAACACTCCACCAGGATCTGCCTCCCATATGTATGTGTCACTGGACATACCCTGTGATAGAAACACAAACGCACCATGGAAACAAGCCGCTGGGACATGAGCATGCAGATAGGATGAAAATTTGCAGAAGAACATACTGTGCTTCAAAAAAAAAAAATCAAAACCCAAACCATAGAACATTTTGAATTGATTGTTTCTAAATATTTTCAGAGAGTCCTTAGCATTTAAAGCAGTGGAAAGTTTCTCGTCATGTCATTCCCAACTAAAGAGGAGAAGAGCCTGAATACCATGAGTAAGATTGTTCAAAAACATTTAACATTGACCTAACTCTGCCCTTATGTTAAAGTTGGCAGTAATTTATTGATTTCTACATGACTAAATTTAGCCTGATGTTGAGAATTTTAGAACAAAAAAATCCCACCATGAAGTACTAACTCTTGAGATGGAACTATACAAAGTCCCTGTCAAAGCAATCCTTTCAATAGCAATCGGAATTAAATATTCACCATGCCAACCAAAATAACAGCATTTCAGACCTAACATCTGCCAGTGCAGATAGCCTGAACAGCCCATCAGACCAACACAAGTTAACCAAGACAAGGTTTGGCCCAGAAATGCAGCTAAGACCCAGCGTTCATCCAAAGAGCTTTACTCATTCTTTCCTGGACTGAACCGAATGCACAGCATCGG